GCTCCCTTGATGTCCCCCTTTTTACCTTGATGTGCATAGAAATGAGTTATAAGAGGACTTTCTTCATGGTTTTCCCAGGAGCTAAACTGAGGTTGACCAGCTTGTAGTTTCTAGGGTTGTCCTTTTGGCCATTTTTGAAGACGGACACGACCCGTGCGTCTCTACAGTCACTGAGACCTCTCTGACCTTCCAAAGGAGAGTGTCCAGCCACTGTTCTCAGCAACCTTGGATCAGGCCATCTGGGACACGTGGACTTGCATGGGTCGGGTTCTCTAAGCAATCCCAATCTTTCTCCTCTGCCTTGAACCCTTTTACTAAGCCCAGAGGACCTTGCTAGTGAAGACACAGAGTACCTCAGCCTGGTCTCTGCTCACTGCCACTAACTCACCTGCCAGCACATTTTGCTTGTGGAGCCTTTTGTGGTGAACACTCTTCTCATTGCCTCACACATCCCTTCCAAGTCTTGACTCCATTTGAGCACTGGCTTTCCTGACACCACCCCCACATGTTTGGGCTGTAATTCCAAATTGCTCCTTTGTGTCCCACCCTTGCTTCCACCTTCTGTATACTACCTTTTTTTTAGGAGCATAGCTCAATCATGAGTTCCCTGCTTGGCCAAAAGCCAGTCTCCTGATACCTCTGTTTGCTTTCCTGAGTACTGGGATGAACAATTCTTGTGCTCAGCAGAGTTGGTCTTTAAAGACTTGCCAGCTTTCCCGAGATAGCTCTCCTCTGCACTGCCGAGCTGCCTCCTGCGGGCTCCCACCTACCAGCTTCCTGCATAAGCGGCACCCTGCTCCCCCAAAGACCAGCACCTGTATCTCACACGCCTCCTCCGCACTCTCCCCAGGATCTTGAACTCTGCTCTTCCGCGGTCACTCCAGCCAAGCTTGCTATTGATTCCCACATCCTCTGTTAATTCTACCTTCCTAATGGCAAAAAAAGAAAAGCACCAACAAATCCAGCTCTTCTGGACTCTCAGAAAACGTGACTACATCAACCCAGACCGAACTGTGGTCTTGCTGTGACTATTGATTCTGTGTTCTGGTGCAGGAAGAGCATGTAAGAGAGGAACTGAATTCAAGTAAAAAGCAGCAGGTGCTAAGCATGTGTCTCTTCTTGTCGTGGGAAATTAATTTTCCAAGTAAATGGGGCCATTTGTTTGCATACTTTCTCCATGCAATCATATTTCCATAGCTTTACATGGTTGGGGATTGTCCTTGCAGATCAAAAGACAGGAAGACATATAAACCTGGTATTTAGGAAAACAATGTTAATGGTAAGAGCATGTTTTAAGGCAAAAGATTGAGGAAATGGAAAATTAATCAAAGATTAACATGAATCATATCCCAGAACTATGACCCTTATAGGAACACAAGATTAAATGGAAAGCAGAAGCATTTTTATTTCTGATAAATATACTGAACTCGACTAGTTAAAATCGCTTTTTCACATATTAAACTGGCCTCCTCACCTGTATCAAATGAAATCTGTAGGCTTCCAGCTGTCAGTTAACTCTCCACCTTTTTAAAGTAGTATATTGGTATTTTTTAAATCAGTTCTTGATGAGCCTCTCCTGTAATTTCCAGGAATTTCAGTGCCAGCATTTATTGTTTGCACAGCTACTGAGCAGACCTGTTGTTGTACCAAAATCCTGCAACCTGATTTTTCTGGCTGCTATCTTCTCCCCAATAGGCTCACTTGCATTTTCAGTTCTTCTCTGTTTAAAATAAAACGTGATCCTTCCTCAAGAATGTCAATGCCCCAAAAAGATGACTTCTGCAGACCGTTTTTCTACTTCTTTTGATTTTTCAATTTTCTGCTTCTTCTAAGCACTACTTCTAATCTTTCTCAGGGTTCAACCTTACTATGTAGGTTTTGCACCATTCTGGTAAGTGACTCCTCTTCTTCACCATAAGCAGGCACCAACAGATCTGAAATCTAAGAACACTACACCAAATTATACCGACTTCAGAGAAGGATATATCTGTTTTCACATTGGCCTTTTAATGTTATTATCATTATTATTTTAATCACTACCTCTTTGGATGTCACCAGACTCCTTGCCCTGACTTCAGAGAAGGATATATCTTTTTTCACATTGGTCTTTTAATTATTATTGGCCTTTATCATTATTATTTTAATCACTACATCTTTGGATGTCACCAGACTCCTTGCCCTTTATATCCACAAACCTTCTGCTTTTGTGAGCTGGAGTCACGGAAGAGCTGGATGGCAGAAAATGAGTATGCTCCGGAGAAGCCACCAGAGGTAACGCGAAGGTAGCACCACAGAGGTGCTACCTTCTCTTTGAAGGTCTCCTCTTTGATTAATCGGAGATAACACTATGAAACCATTCTATCTGGATGTTGAAACCTTTGCCTGTATCCTTCTTTGCCAGGAATGTCAAACAGCTCCCATATAAAAATTAAGAGGAGGCTTTCTCCTTTTTGGGTGTAGGCCTAAATGTTCTTCCCAGTCACACCAATCCAAGGACGAGCAATGTCCAAAGAAGACTTCTGCCATCCACACCTATGGTGGATAGAGCATGTGCAAACAGGCAGGGCGATGGCTCTGCTGGTATGCAGCAGCTCTTCCAGGAGTTAACAGGAGTTAAATCATGCCTGAATTATCAACTCGGAATTAATTTTGAGTTTATGGTCCCGAGGGTGGTGATGAAAGGTAAGCATGACACAGCCAATGCTGATGAAGTCACTGTATCACTGGTCTAACCCTAGTGATGTCAACATGATGACAGGATATTTCAATTAAGTGGTTGAATTCCTATTTTAAATTAATTGCTTGTGATTCACTTGAGGATTCCCACACTTCTGATTCCCAAGCTTGAGCAGGAGGCATCAGGAAGCACCACCTGGTAGGGCAGTCGGCCTCGTTGGAGCAGTCCCGGTGCCTGAGCACTGGAAAAACACGCAGGGAACCGAACCCCGTGAGGAACAGCCCTGACCACGTGGCAGGGAGATGGGGAAGGGAGGGTTTCCTGAGGGCTCCTGCCTCAGCTGGCCCAGGCTGGAGCTCAGCCCGTCTCCGAGCACCACGGAGGTGGCAAAGGCCGGGCCTGGAAAGCCCGGCACAGTGACGAGGAGGAAGAGAGGGTGGCAGGAGAGCAGAACACTGAGGAAATGCAGGAGGAAGTGCAGATGTTTTCCCAGATAGCTTGCTGGGGAAGCCACAAAAGCACAAACTCATCCTTGCATTCAATGACTATTTTTCCCTGAATCTTCCTCCAAACCTAGCAAAGCTGCGATATGGAGAAAACCCCTGTCAGTAAATAGAGAGATCTGGCCCTGCCGGCCCACGCACCTCGATGCATTTCGGGTTGCCCTCTATGTGCCCCCCCAGAACAAAACAGCTTCCCTAAGGGGCAGCTGTGGCTTTAGCCCAAGATCTTTCCCAGCTGCACTTCCACAAGGCTGGTTTTGAAGCTGGTGACACGGTGCTCCTCAGAAGTGTGGAGGCTGCAAGCAGAGCCTGAAGCTTCTGCTTACAGATAAACCTGTCGTGAACGTGCAAACAGGATTTCACAAGGTAGAGGATGTTGCCACCTACTGTTCAAAACCAGACGGACATTAGTCCCACTGGGCTTTGGGTCAGTGCTTTTCTGCTTGTTTGTTTCCAAGTTCTTTTGCAGACTGGCGAGCCTGGTTGATGGGAATAGGATGAGGCACGGAGCAGGGAAGAACTGCAGAAGAGCAGAGGTACCTGCTTGGCGTCACTTCTTCCCTAGTACCTGTTAGTTCAAGGTGCAAGTCTACTGGGAAAATGAGGATCCAGGTGGGACAGATCTTGGGTATTTTGTGCCTGGAGCTGTTCCGGGGGTTGTAAAAGCAAATTCAAAATTATTAAGAACTACAAAAAGTAAGTATCTAACCTAAACATGCAATGTTTAGGTAGCGTATTCCAAAGAACTGGGTCATAGTGGGAAGATTAGAGTGTGCACACTTAGGGCAGGATTAAAGAAAAAAGGCCAGCAGTTCTGTGAGTCTGTGGATCCAGCACCTAGAAAGAAAGAGAGAAAAGCAGAAAAAAAATATCTTCCCAGGATGTTTTTGTTTTGCAGGCAGTACTAATAGAGCCTACAATGCTGAATTGCTTTTCCTAGTGAGCTCTCTTTGAGGAAGGATCTATTAGTTGCAACCATCTTCACAGGGCCTGAACTTCTTCCCACTGGGGAGGCAGTGGAAATCAGCAGTTCTGTGAAGTAGCCCCTCTATCCTGATATCTCTGCTCTTAATGTGATTCTGCATGGAGACAGGAATTTCTGATTGAAACCTGAAGAAAGCTACAGTTCAGGTGAGGTTTTCAGAAACATTTGGTGGCAAAGGGAAGATCTGAAAACTTCAGTGCAACTTGCAAACTTGCCATTTAGGAAGTGTAGCCACCCTATCAAAGCATGTGTTGGTATTTTCATCTTAAGTAACCTTTTTATCAAGCCTAGAGGAGCGCTTCAGGCCAATACAAGTTACGGTGTGCGCAGTGGCTGAGACTGTCCCGAAGCAGGGAGCAAAAAGTCTTCATTGTTTCACAAATAAATACCTAAAAACTTTCCACCACATTTTTACCAAGTTACAGACGGTTCTTTCAGCCACAAGTTCCTCTTACCTTTATTATAACGCACTTGGATTCACAATCCCCCGTGCCAGGGAGCCTAACAGCAGTCCTGGGAGCAGGGCAAACTTGCAGCACAGCCACCCCCTTGCACAGATCCATCGGGAACGTTTTCCCCGTCTGAGCGGTGCTGCCAGGAGGGAGGGAGGGCCCGGAGAGCCGGGGCCCTCTCCCGGGCAAGTCAGGGCCCCGTTTTGGAGCACAGCTCGTGGCAGCAGCTCTCGGGCACGGCAAGGCAGAAAACACCTCTAAATTGCTAGAAAAAGTCTTTCAAAGACGTAGGTTTATCAAGTGCAGGCGGAAGGAAAACTTCAAATATTTCCCAAGAAGTACCTGGCTACAGAACTCCTCCCAGGTTCCTCACGCAGCAGCACGTTACATCACAACATTGTTTATTATGTGACTTTTTACAATACAAACAAAAATACAGAAATGCAGTATATGAATACAGCTAAATGCGAAACGGTGATGTTTTTCTTGAGGCCATATTCCCATTTCTAGTAAAATAAAGAGACTGCACACAGGTAGAAACAGGTTGGTAGTTAACTCCACAATTTTGCCTAGAAATGACCTATAAATGCATTTTCCTGCTACTTACCATAAAATGTAAAAAGGGAGTTAAAGGAAAGTTTTACTCACTGGTTCCTACCATATGAAAGAAGCTATATTCTATTTAGAAGGGCCAATATATGGAAAAATATCTAAATTAAATGTTATTACAAAAATGAAGCAGTAATGAGATCCTTCTGGCTAAAGAAGTTACTAAATGAGAATAGCATATATTTAAAGAATCCAAAACATAAAAGGGCTGTTATAAAAAGCTTAGGTGCACTGTAAGCCTACAACTTCTGTTTTTCCATGTGTACTTTTAAACAATGGAAGTGTCAAAAATAGGGTCAACTGTGTTAGACTAAATTACATTATTGTATATGCTGCACTGAATGGAGTTCTTGTATTATAATAATAGAGAAGCATTGTTTGCATCATATTATGGCAATTTATCCTCACTAAAAACCGTCTAGAGTCCTTGCATTCTTGAATATCCTGTAAACTGTCAAACCACCAGAACATGATTGTACAACAGTAAAATGTTTTCTTTTGCATTAAAATGACATCTGTTTAAAAAAAAAGGAAAAAAAAAAGGTACTTAGAGCTGTTATTTTTCCAAGTACACAACACCCTAGACAATTCAAGGCATCTCATTCTCCATCAAAATTAACAAAAATTTGTCATGCTGTTAAATCCATGGCTATGGATACAACTGGTGCAAAATTGGTCAAACGGATCCAACAAACACTGATGTCCAGGCTGGCATATTGGCAACTAATACGTAACTGGTGGTCAAAATGATGCATTTAAAATATCTTCCCTTTCTTCTTATTCTTTTCCAAGGTTCTGAAATGATAAAAAAGAGTTTTGTTAAATAGTAAAAGAAAGCATGATCCAATTAAAAAAAGCCTATGTATGTGTTCTAAATATGCATTTATAAAGTCTTACTGGTTGCAATACAATGTATAAAAACTTACTATATATGCAGTACTAGTATGCAGAGTCAATCACTGCTTTTATAGCTATGCTCCTTTTTGAGGCCTGGGACACATAAAGCCTTTCACATTTTATAAAAGCTTTTATCATTATCCTGCAGCATCTAGTGTTATCCAGCTTTCAAAATCAAACACAGTTTTTCTAGATAGATCTAGCCATGTATGGTCACAAGTTTTCCCATAATAAAGCTTGCTTAAGAGTATGGTAACATGCCAAATATCTCTGATTTATGCTCATCTGTAACATAAAGCAGTTTAAGATTTTCCTTAATTTTAAATTAGGTTTTCAAAATGGCCAGGCACTATTAATAGCTATTATCAGAGAAATTTCCTTTTACAGAAAGCCAGAGAACATTATTTGCAACATATAATTGCAAAGCAAGAATTCAGTTTACCTGGAAGAATTCTGTTGTTCCAAAATACGTTGTTGAGCTTCCCAGTTTGCTTTTTCATCCTCAAACTGGCGACGCTTTTCCTCTAATTCTTTGTGTTGTGCCTCTAAATTCTTTTTCATCTGTTCATGGCGTCGTTGCAGCTATAGAAAGTTACCAAAAGAGTCACCAAACATCTCTTCAGCTACTGTACTAGAGTGATAAAGCTAATTAGACCCAAAGTTCTATCATTTACAAGGTTTCTTTATTTAACAAAGAATTTATTAATTCCATAATCCCACTTTTATTAAAGCCCGCCCAAAGTAAAGCATGAGTACAACTAGGGGCCGTATGCAGGTACGTACTGCAAACAAAAGGAAATTCAAGAATACTTTGACATTTGATGTAAATGTTTTGCAAATTGTAAAACATCTGGATCAATAATGCCTGAATTGGCAACATTTCTGAAAGAACGAAAAGGAAAACCCCATAGATTTCAGCCTATCTTACTAAAAATTTATTCAGGAAAGCGTTATTATTAAATGGATTTATTCGCTTACTAAAAGAATCAATATTGAAATCAATTGCCTGCACTGACAGACCAGTATAAGGAGTCTCTCTTGCAAGCTTTTGTTGATGGGACAGACTGAAAAACAATCAAATATGTTGGACATGGGAATGGAGACAGTGTCGGGAAAAGTGATTTCACTTGTGCTGTGTAACAGGATTTTTAAAACCCGAGTTAGAAAACTCTCTGCCCTTTCTCTCCCCCATATCCCTCTCTTCAGAAACTCCTTCAGAAGATATTTTCCCTTTACAGATTTTTATACTCAACACTGCCATCTACTTTCTGCAAATGGGAAAATCCAAGAGAAGTTACTGAAGTCTTGAATGGTGAAGGGAAAAACAAAATAGAAAAAACACAGAATGAACTGCATGGACAACTAAAACATTAATTAGCAGAGTGCACTCAGTGAAACCATCATGAGGTAGCAGAAATAAAACAAGATGGAATATTCCTGTTTGTTTATTTTTCTTTAACTAGAGACTTATTGCACAAGGCATGGTAGAGGCCAGAAGTATAAATAGGCTAAAGAAGATATGAGACAGATAAACAGAAAAGATAAATTCATCTGTAATTAAACACTATGATCCAAATACAACCTCTAGCTTAGAAATCACTTGACACAACTGACTGGAACAGCTAGCATTTATATTCTTTTCTGTATCTACCTATTTTTGACTACTTTGAAAGAGAAAATCAGGTTCTTTTTTTTTTTCCTGTACGCCAGTACCTGAATTCTCCTTTGCTACCTGCTGCTTGGCTCCTCATACTGCCTAGGCTGGCAGGCCTGGCACCTGCCTTGCCAACTCTTCGCACTTGCTCTCCGATTGGGAGCCAAATCGTTGTTTGTGATTTGGAACTTCTCTATTGGGTATAGATCCTGAGCGAAGCTGCCTTTCTAAAACTTAAAAGTCTTTTTTCTTTTTAAATATAATTTTATCCTAGTCTGTTAAAAACATGACTTCAAGAGTTGCTCTAAGCATGTGGACATGAAAATTACATTTTAAATTTATTTCACTAATAAAGCAGAAGTTGGGGAAAAAGTAACATGGTTTTCTTTAAATCTAAGACCCAACTACGGAACCAATTTTTAAACAGATGTTATGTTGCCAAATCTTGGAAAAAGAGCCATCTCTACACTGGTTCTGTAACAACCCCATGACATTTGAGAAAATTTGTTCACCTCAGCTTCTGAGTCCTTCAGTTTCTGAACTTTTTCTTTGACTTTCATCTCAAACACCTGTTCCATTTCCATTTCCATTTTCTTCATTTTGGCTACATGCTCTCTCCTTTCCTCCTCCATCTGTGCCAATGGGCTCCTGCCATGAATCCATAAGAAAAAGTTAGCTAAGAAGTCTTTTTTTAAAAAAAAATATTGTTGCATTAGGACATCTGCAGAAAACAGGATAAAAGCACCTAAACATTAGAATGAATAATATAGCTGCATGTACTACTAGCTTAAATTCAATTTGTCTTACTACATTGCTTACTACATAAGCATTTTACAAAAAGATATTTCATACAATGCCCCTCCTCCCATTAGATTTATATTATATTTAGGTTATTACAGAAAGTCTTTATGAAACTCTTTACTTTCTATCTTTAGTAAAACCTGATCATGGGAAAAGAGGAAATCAAAGTTACTTGCAACTATATATACATATGTAATAAGCATTTTTTTTTTAATCACTGTATTTCAAATGACCTTCAGGCACTGTTTTCCTTCAAATACAAACAGATAGAAAACACAGATAGAAAAACTACCAGACAGAACCTTTATTTAAAACTGATCATTCAAAATGTTTCTGGCAAAAGAACTCTAAACCCTTATGGTTCAAGATCATGCTAAATATAAACTAACATTAGAAGTCGGTTGAATAACAGTGGTCATTCTTCTGAACAGGTAATTTTGGAAAAAAAATATGGGCAGCGGAACATCAGTTGTTCATGAAAGTATTAGTTGGAAGACTTAGAAGTATTAATAAACTTAATTTAAAAAACCTACATGATTCTTAACTTTCGTACCCTTTAACTGATTTGCTAAATTCCACAAAATTTGGAAAATTCTATTAGCCTGCTATCCATGTTAAAGTGATACTGTCTTTAAAAAGCAAGTTTCACATTAAGCATCGTTGACAAAACAGGATAATTTTAATCTAGTGATGATTTCTGCACACAGTCTACCATAAGACTTTTAAAAGAATAATCAAAAATTACTGTCTTCTTGTTTCAGGATGAATATGCATGGTTTTTAGAAGGGATTCATTTTCAACTACCTTTTTGGTAATAAATAAATAACTAGATAGATAAAGAAATGAGTTGAATATGCAGAAGACCCTAAAAAGAGAATAAAAATCAACAAGCAGAGAATATCTACTCTAATATATTCAAGGTCAGACCTAAAAATAAATTAAAGGTGGCAAGTCTAAGCCTTGTCCAAAGGGTTTTTTTTATTCTTTAGAATGTATGCAAAAACTGTTCTGATTAAATTCAGGCAGAAAAAGTATTCTAGAAGGAAAATGAATTGACTAGATTTTAGAAAAGATTAAAACATCAGAATAGTAAAAAACATCCATTTTCATTCAGAATTTACAACTCATTCTTGAAAGCGTTTATACGTCAAACATAGTTAAGAATCATTTTGACCATTAACGGCTTCTTTTTATCCTCTTGCTTGTGCACTGCAAGAGTTAATCAGTGAAAGCAAAGTCATATGAACTCAAGGTCACATGAACAATTTTTCAAGTTTTCTGAAAACAGTAGTTTGAAATGTGCTTTAAAGGTGACAACTGGATGTGGTAAAGAGGATGGCATTTCCACACACACAAAAAGTAAATTAAATGAGCCTGAACTAATAGCTGCAAAGCTTGAATTGGCTAGTAAAATGCTTCAGTACTACTCATTGGACTGAAACCGCTCATCGGGGTAATGTTTAAGTGTTGAAAATGCCAACTGCAAGCAACTTTTATCAAGAAAACAAAATTGGTTGAGCTTGGGTCGAGTACTGTAATGCACACAACCAACTCAGGTAAGAAACAAGTGAGAGGATTGGAGTAGGCAAACCATCCAAAGCCTGTTTTATTTTTTCATTGCCAGTCTACCTTTTAGAAGTTTTTAAAGTACTCAGATGTGTCTGCCCTTCAAATTTAGCCTAGGGAGTAGATCTAAATGCCAATGAATCATTGCTACAATTTCTACAGACTGTCCTCCTGTGGATGACCCCGTAGTTATCATCATGCAAGTATTTGGCATTGGTAAGTGCACATTATCCCTTGCTCCAGGATAAAATAATGCAAAGGACTTCAACAGGATGAAAAGCTCAAGGAAGGAAAACAACAACAAAAGGACCACCACACATACACACACAAATCCACAAAAGAAAAAAAAAATACTTATCTGGTTTAATAGGATGTATGTTAAAACTGACCTCTAAGATTTGCAAAAGTTAAAATTATTCTAGACAGACACAACTAGAACGTCTGCAAGCCAACAACAGAATAAAACCATGTCCAAAAAAGATTAAAATACCTAGTTTTCCAATTCAAGGTTTTTAAATTTACAGATAAGTATAATTTGACTGATTTTTAAAGCATCTATATATATGTACCATGGAACTAGTAAGAGGCTGCAGATCCAAACTGGGGGAATTTCATAATTTATATGCTGAAGCTGTCTTCTCATTGTTGAAATTTAAACAAATGTGTCTTAAGGTTTGACCAAAGCATTTTGAATAGTGAAAGTTTTTTGTCACTGAAAATATTTGGAACTTGTTCAAGTTTATGTCAGCACAGCTTTAGGGGAAAAAAAAAACACAGGAAGAGGGGGACAGGGTGGGGAAACAATGCCAAGAGTTGGATAACAGGGAACTGTTTTAAATTTGATACGTTACACAGTAAAACTCTTTCTGTGTTAAAAGAATTTTTTTCTTAAATTTTTGGAAAAATTTAAATGACCACTTACATGCCTTCAACTGTGTCAAATCTAAAAAACAAAAAATACAGAGGCTTAGCTTAACATGCTTAAATAAAACCACAAAAGCAAGAAGCAATAATTAAAAAAGCAAATTCATTATAAATAGATTCCTAAAGCTAATTATATGCTCCCAAAAGAAAATTTTTCACAGTAGAATGATAGACTGTTAGTTAGAGTCGGTTATTTTTATTTCAAATCTAGTTAGTAAATCACTACACCGTGTGAATATTAATGAGGTGCAAATGCATTTCCAGGAACAGTTTTACCTAAAGTGTACTTAAAATACGCCTGCTTTTTAAGTGATTCGAGGTACGTGAGGGACTCTAAGCTTTCCTCAGAAGCCAGTTTTCTGAAACCCAAGCCATCTCTACGCTTCTCTGCTCATTAAAACCAAGGCTGTCACCTCAGAAAGGACATTACATTGCTAAGTTCCACGCGGGCCTGCGCAGCGAGAAGAGCCCGGGTGTCGGTGGGCGGCAGCGGTGCCGCGGGGCTGCAGGAGGCCTCCTGGCCAGCGGGCACCTCCGCCTGAGCACACGCTGCATGACCAAGGCCCGAACTGAGCACACGTGCAACATGAGCCCGGTGAGACTCTGATATTGAACTTGAAGGGCTTTAATACTCTTAGAAGGGCTGCATCCGAGTCCCTGTTCTGCTGAAAAGGAAGCGGCGAATCTCGGGTTAGGGAAAGCTACTGAAATAGGAAGAATGCAGTAAAGAGGAGCGAGAAAGGGCCTCAGCGCAGCAGGACCTAGATATTTCGTGTTTTGTCACCCTTGTGACAGTTTATGGAACATGCTGGCAGGCAAGACTCATCTCTACTATCATCAAGATCTATCTTTTAATAAAAGTTTTAAGCTCACTGAAAATATCAATTTCAAATATAAAAATTAAAAGAAATTTAGTTTTCACTTAATTTCGAATTTCGGAACAAACGTCGGTTTTAGCACATGCGATAATGCTCATATTGAGCTACATTTACTGCATAGTCTGAAGAGAAATGATCCCTAGAATTAAAAGTTACCTTTATATATATATATATATATATACATATATATATATATATATATATATATATATATGTATTTTAATTAAGAGACGGGTTGGTGTTGAAAGTTTGAAGAACTGTCACATGAAACCTAAGCCAGAAACTAGGCTACATATTCATGGCAAATGTGTCTTGTATTTCCCATAGGGCAGCTTGTTATCTGTTTTGCCACAGAGAAGAAATCTCAGGGAATTAATCACTGCCGAGAAGGAATTGCTTCAATTCATCTGTACGGTATTTTTAAAACTTGTGCCAGCTTCCCCGAGCCAGAGGCTGTGTCTGTGCGCAGCAAAGCGCTCGTAGCAGCGCCAGGGAGCACCAGAGCACATCCCCAGCCTCTCTAAGGAGCTGCCTCCCACTAGCGACTCCCATTTCCAGGGATCAACTCCTACTGCACCATTCTCAGAGCCCTGCAGGAAGCAGGCCGGCATCAGATTCCCAAGGGAATGCACAGCTAAAGTGTTAATATTTATTCTTCCCGACCTTGCAACTAATTTCTACAAAGATATGCATAGTTACTATGAAAATTCTCTATGCTGCTTCAATTATCCTAGATTCAAAACTAAAAATATATTTAAGTAATAAAGGCAAGAAAAAAGCATAAAGTTTAAATAAAATGCCGCAGCTCAGCACGCAGAAAGGTAAGAGAAGAAAAGCATCAGCTGCTTCATGGCCAATATAAAATAATCAATCTTGAGTAAGTCACAAAGTCAGACGTTCACTAAAGAAAGGCTCAAAATATTCCCCACGGACATCCCTGTCTTCCAAAGGGCTGAATCCCGAGCTGTGGTAGTTCACGTCCTCTCCTGAAGGGAGGTGACAGCTAAGTGCCCCGGCTGAGTTTGTTCACCCTGTGATCCAGTCCTAAAATGTTCTGAACAGCAAGTCTCACACAAAGCAAACTGTCCCAAAAGATACTTTTATCTTTAAATTCCCAAGCAGGACAGGAGGGCAGGAGGCAGCACAAGCAAGCAGGCGCCTAAAAGCAGAGCCATTCTGGGCACTCAGGGCATAGGTTTTCCTGAAAATCAATATCTCAGCAATATCAGCAGCAATGGATGGGGGCAGAGGAAACGCGCTTTGGGAACCTCCTGGTATAGGTATTTACACAGGAATCTCTTGTCATGTTTGCAATAGGAAAATTAAAATCACTGCATTATTCTTTTTTAATAGTATACAGAGTCCTCAGATTAGGTAACAGATTCAGTTTGCAGGTGCAAAGCAACACAAATGTAAGCAAACACAAAGCATGCAGTTGCAGAAATGTTAAAATTTAGATTTTTCCAAATCTAAGTAAAACATAGTAAGATTTCGAAAAGAAGAAAAAATTGCTATGAAGCACCACAAAACAAAAGCAACACAACTTTCTGTGGTGACAGAAACAAAGTTTCATTTTTAAAAGGACAGCAACAGCAGGTTAGACGAATCCTGCAGATTGGTCTGTTAGAGGACAGCGACATTTTTGTCTCTCACCTGCCATCTGCTCCCCATTTCCAAACTGTTTTGTTCTCCAACGTGCAATCTTTTTGCACGCTTGCAAATTTTCTTTTTTTTTCCTTCCTCGCCCACAGTTTCTACCCCACGAAGCGATTTTACTTCTTCAAATTGGCCGGCCAAGGGCACGGTGCTGCTAGGAGGGTGAACACGGCCTTGGCACTGCTCCGAACGCTCCTCCTGGCCCCTCCAGGGCCCTTGGTGCGCGAGGCCGCGCGACGGTGCGAGCGCAAACCGCGGCGTTCGGGAGGCCGCGTTGGAGCCTGCTCTCTCCAGCACCTGACCTCACTGCTAATCTAGCCTAAATCTGAGCGCTCGTTTGAAGAGTTGATTGACCTGACACATCCTGTTACATTTTTTGTCACTGCTGAGCAAGGAAACTTTGCGCAGTTTCATGCTGAGAGTAAATCAAGCCCCCTTTAATCGTTCTGTCATAGGCACTTTCAAAGCAAGAAGATATTGCAGAACTGACACTTGCTTTCATGAAAAAATAGCTTTGCAGCTCTCAAACAAACAGAAATAGCGGTTATTGTCTAATTTCAGAGATATTTCTGGAGAAACGAGTGTAACTTGGTGTGTCAGTAAACTAACCAAAAGCCATCCTATGTTTTGGTTGAGAAAATTGTATTTAGACGTAGAAGGATTTTATTTAGATACGGTATTTCAAACATCATTGTACAATGGGAATACCACGGAGTCTACTTTTAAAGTTTCCAATAATTTCACCAAGCTGGCAAACAACTTGCTGCCAAAGGTAGCCGGAGTATCATACTAAGCTTAAAACAACCCTGCAGTGCCAACTTTCCTCCCATGAGACGGGGACAGACAGACCATCATGCTTTACTATAATTTCCCTCACATAAGCAGCTTAGAAGATGCCAGGGCAGCCTTTCAATAAGGACAATAGCATATCTGGATTTTTACTTTGGAAGTTTCTAACCAAACATGTATCTATTGCTCTCGAAAACGCCCCCAACACTGACTATTGAGATCACAGAAGAGAAACCAAAGGAGACAATAAGGTCAAGAGTAACATATATACCAAAACAGAAAAGCTAACACAGAAAAACTTCACAAAAAGAACCACTGAAACAAAACTTATAAACAGAAACTCTAAGCTTATGGATTCTCTTGAGAATTAAATCCAATGAAAACCAATTATTTAACCTATTCAGTTATGCTAGTGCAAAGCTTAATAAAAGTGTAAAGAAAAAGACCAAGGAAATCATAATTAAACCAGACATAGTATTCAGACCAGAACTCAGGCAGTGGACCAAGGAGGAGGAGAAGGGAGTGGGGTGGAGGAAATAAAAATGAATAGATAAAAAAATAAAAACACCCAACACGCCAAGACACCAAAACCACCAAAATAAATCCCAACCAACCAAAACAAACAAAATGGAATGAACAGAGAGCAATATAACCTTAATTAGAACTTACTTTGTTAGCTGCCCTTTATTTTTGTTGTTGTCAACACCGTTGTACGTAACAGCTGCCAGTTTTCTGCTTCTGTAGTTCTCGTAATGTACATTGTTAGTGACATCCTTCAGGTCCTGCATGTGAGTTCTGTCAATAAAGGCAATTTATAAGCTTAATGCATGGATATTAAATACCATCTCAAAAATATGAGTCTGTGTTTGTTTTGCAGGTTTACTTAATCATCTCTCTCGCTCCATTCGTGTTCTGTTCCCCACAAGGTTGTCATTTGCCCATTTAAATCAGAGTGGTCAAGAGACAACAGAAATAATTTACTATTTGGAAATGAACTATTTCAAGTTTGCAGTATTTTTTAGCAATAGTTTAAAGGACCAACATTCAGAAAATTCCAGAAAGTTTTGTAGAAAAATATGTAAATATTTAGAGAACACATATAAAAGTTGTATATTATACTGGAGCAGATGCACTGAAGTTTGTCGAGCAAGAAGCAACAAATATATGCCAAAACTTCCCAGGTTCTGCATTTGAAATCTGCCAAAAGTAAATGTAAAGTTCCAGACTAATGTACAAACATTAGCTGCAGTCCTCTCTCACTATCAGCTTGAAGCAAAGCACAACTTAGAATTCAAACTGTTGCAGCAGATGCAACTTGCTAAACTGCCACGAACATAGGAAGAATAACTAAACATCAGTACCTAACACAGCAAAGCAAATGCAGTCTTGCTTGAACAAACTGCTGGCTTTGAAAATTAAAGCATACCTACAATCAAGTACACGTGACACCGACAGACAACTCAGGTTCCACAATTTTCAAAAACAAATAATCATTAAGAACTATTACAAAATGACCATCACTGCCATGACTCACTAGTTACGTGCTTGAATGAGACGTTATCATAAGGAGTAAGATACTGTTTATAATTAAAAATAGGGTGATTAATATGAACTGGTGAAGTCTCCTTTCCTCCAATGCAAGACCTTCCAATCGGTTAGTCACACTAGCAAGCCCAATGTCACCTGTAAGCTGCTCACCTTATCAACATGTTCCTCAGAATCGTGAAGTCACAGTGCTCACCATTTTCAACTGCAAAAGGAAACAGATTTACATGACAGCCAACCATGAAAATATGCACCTTACACCAAGGCAAGACTTTCGGACATCACCCAACCACTACATTCATTCCAACAACAGACCCTTCTCGACCTTTCTTTACTTTGTGTTTATGCACCTGGGTCACTGCATCTCACCGGCAAAATTCTTACGCTTTGCAAGCCCCACTAGTAAACTGCACCCTGAGCCAATAAGGCAGAATAAGCTGCAGCAGCAGAAACAGTTTTGCCTGTTGAGCTAGATGCTCCTTGGGAGGCCCTGTCAGCACAACTGTGTAATTAAGGTTCAGATACTAAAGACTTCAATCTTGATCCAGTTACATCCAAGACCTTTAAAAGACACAGCCCATCTCCCACCTCCTCAACAAAAGTCTTCATTTTAGTGTGGACTCAAATATTCATTCACTAAATAAAGGAAGGCTGTATATTCATGTTGATGCAGTTGTCTACAGATCATAAGGGACGTCTGGGAGTTGTCATAAGATTTCCACCTATTTTGCTGTGCCCATCATCCTGTTTTTGTCATAGAAGACGGTGCTGCAAATGGTGTTTTGCTGACAGATAATGAAATATTACTAAAGGAACTGCATGCCACACTCAATCCTCTGGTGCACAGACTGCTGAGGGAGAGCACAAAGCACCTGGCAAGCAAAAGGAAGGCAGGAGGCTGATGCCAAAGCGCCCTGGGAAGGGGGACAGGCTTTTTTTGAGGGAGGCGAGGTGGGGAGAAATAGGGAGAAAACAAGAGAATAAAAAGGAATTACAAATAACCTAAGTGATCTCAAAAAAAAAAAAAAAAAGAAAGAAAGAGGCAGCATGTAATATCTTGCCGTGTCTACTCTCCTGCAGTTATTTTATTTCACAGTTTTACAGAAGGTGGGTATGGCTCATAGTGTATCAAGTCCTATCCTCAGAAAAGCGTTATTTCTAAGTCCTCTATATTCTATCCATAGGTGACAACCTCACAAAGCAATTCAGGCAGTTCCTTTTAGTTAGGTGGTAGTTTTCGCCCTTACAAAAGTTACAATCACACAAGTGTGAAACATTTGTAAGGTTTGTTTTAAAAATACAGAACAGCACCATTTTGTACATTTCAAAATGCTAACGCAAGAGCCTTAAAATAAAGTTTGATCTTCTAGTGCAGCTGGTTTTTACTTTGTGCCAAACCTCATTTCCTGCCAGACATGCACTTCAAAGAACTACAGCATTTCTCTTTAAAGCATTTATCCATACTGGGCTCTCCCCACCAGCACACACACTCCGTTTTGCACTGTAAACTTAGACAGTTGCTCCCTTGGTAGGGAAAAGTAAGCAAGAATCTTCTCTTTATTCTACATAACTACTGGGAAAAAGGGCAGTCATTATGGAAAAAACATTGCAAGTTTGTAGTGCTTGCTTCAAAATATGGTATGGTGCAAGCTCTACTTTTCATGTGGCATTTGCAATAGGTGAAGAGTGTTAAAGCATAAACAATCATTGCCAGAAGAATACCCAATTACCTTCTAATCTCTACGACAGGAGAAAATAAGTTTTAAATAACCACAGAAAGGGAACAGGTATTCAGTTCAATACAAGATACCTTCCTGTTGCTGCACATCAGCAATTAAGGCCAATATATTCTTGGAGAAAAATACATTTTCCCAGATACTTTAAATTGTTTTATGCTAGTCAAGCAGATCACGTTAACATTCCTAATACGAATTCCCTGAAAACAAGAACTTAAGAAATGAATTTTTTTATACAAAGTAAAATAAGAACACTAGCGAAGAGTTGCAATTTAAGCCTCATCGTTTTGTGCAGCAATTATAGTAAATTACAACAGGTTTGACAATTCCTCAGTGAAGTTGCAGCAAGAATCTGCACATAAAATTACCCGCTGCTGAAACTTTTACTGCTCTTCCAAGTATGTCAGAATAACAAAAATGTTACATGTAGCAAACTTCCAGACGAAAGTACATTCAAACTAAGCATTTTAAACATTTCAGATAAAGTCTCATGCCCTAACACCTTTAATAAGGACACGGACAACGAGAAAGCCTTACCTTCTGCAACGCCCCATGGGTACTGCCTTCCTCTCACTCTCTTGCCATTGACTTCAATGATCGTATTACTACCTACCACAGCAAGAGGCAAACGGTCCTGCAAGGTAAAGGATTGCTTCAAAAAATCAAACATTCCTACTGCCAGAGGATAAGGAAACCATGCCCGAGGAGCAACGTGACCTAGGTGATATCGCACTGCAATCAGCTTGCCCGAAGTGCAAGCACAGATACATATTTACTCATTTTTAACTAGGTTAATGATGTTATTATATATATGACATATAGTTTATTTATATACAATTTTATTTAGTTTTTTATTTAATCACCTTTTAAATTCTCTACATTCAGATGTATTTTGTAAATCATTTAAAAAGATATTTTTGCTACTTAGTAAACTAAACAGGCAACCCTTTCCTATTTTTTTCCTAATCAACTTGCTCAGTAATGTAATTTCAATTCATATTCCAATTGACTACAAGGATTATTACTTTGACAGGATCTTGCATCCAAGTTCTCAAGGATTTGCCAAAGAACTTGTACTGTAAGCTCTTGTTTTCAGCTGAAGCAACAAAGTAGCCAAGAACATCTTTAAATAGCTGAAAGGAACAGCTTACAAAGCTAAGTATTTTGCACTTTCCTCCTTGCTTTTATTCTGTTCCTCTCCTTTAGGCTAGCGAGCATTTGTTCCAGAATAACTTCCATTTGTGCTATGTGTATTTTATCTATCCTAGGTGATTCCCACAGAAACAAAAATATAAAAGCTTTTACAAGCTGTTAAAACAAGGGAGCAGAAAGAAGCAAGGCTCAAGAAGAGCATGAGAAAGAATAAACCAAAAGCAAGAGTAAACAGAACAATGTTTCAATAACCTGACAGCCCACTTTGTTTTATTTAGTCATTCCTCTCCATTTCAGTGCATCATTTAGTCAGACAGTACTTCTATCAACTCCAGTGTGTGTATGTTGTGCCACTACACACCTCTGTATGAAAGACAACCCAGTTTCCTTCCAAGTTCACAATCAAGACGTGGCAGGTGGATAGAAGTAAAATAGGGATGGAACAGAAAAACAGGAGTAAAGTGAACACACTTAAGAGTTTATTAACAGGTACGTGGTGCAGTGTTTTCATTCTGAATTTTAGTCATTAATGCTGAGAAGATAGTCCTTCATTCCCTCAGCTGTGAAACTTATTCTTAGAACAGCCTGACATTTGGCTTGATCTTTAAAAAAATTGGATGGATTCTTCAATAAAGACAATGCTTTTCACTTCCCCCCTGTCCCAAGTCAAAGGGGTATTGTCCTGGAACAAACAGCTTTTCAAGACAAAATTCTTTACCTTTATCTTTTTAACAATCTTATTTTCTTCTTCATCGTCTGTTTCTGGAAATTCATATATTTTAATTTTGTGTTCTTGGATTTCTTTCATTATCTAAAGAAAAAAAAAGAACATTATTCAATTGTCTGAGAAATTCATACTTTGCAGTGACTGCTTTTTTCTGCAATCTGTTACTTCTTCTGTTTCACTTGTAAACTCTTTGCCTTTTAAGGTAACTAAATTGCATCACAGAACTTGCTCACATGGTTAACACCATCTGGCTATTTCAGGGGATTATTAGCATAACCACCACTCCTTGGCCAGCACAACAGCATGAGAGCCAGGCACCTCACAGCTCACAGAATACTTCAGGCTGATCCATATTCAAAGGACTACCCACCTATACAAGGCAGCAAAACTGAATTATTTTCCTATGTCTCAGCACACAGGGAGTTTGACACTCATGACATTCCACTGGCACATGTAAAAACTAAAACAACACAATGCAGATCTCCAAATTAATATAGCAATTGAATGCTTTTTTTTTCTCTTAAGAAAAATGAATTAAAAGAAAAAAAAAGATTTTTAATAAGTAACTGGGAGTTTGACACTCATGACATTTCACTGGCGCATGTAAAAACTAAAACAACACAACTCAGATCTCCAAACTAATATAGCAATTGAATGCTTTTTTTTCTCTTAAGAAAAATGAATAAAAAAAAAGATTTTTAATAAGTAACTGCAGGCATACCTCAGCTCTTTGAATTGCTGTAATAGCTACTGCTGTCACTGCTGTTCTTTTCTGCTCCTGGCTCACCTGAGCATCAACTGCTTGAAGCAGGATCACCTGCCTATTTCAGTAGAGCTTGTGATGGATGAACTGGCTCTAGCTACTTTTTTTTCTAATATTTCTAAGCACCAAAGAAAATTTAAGAATAACTGACAGTGCCACCAAAAATAAGCCTGTTACTGTTTTGGTTTCTGACTTGTCTGAAGGTTATTTTTAAAACAGGTCTGATTAGTTTGCCAGAATTTTAAAATGGAAAAAAAAAAAAAGACAATTTAGCTGACAGTTACACGGCGGTGCCTTGGGGGTTATTTTTGGTTCATGCATTTACAAACCTGGAAAGAAGGTAAGTTTGCAAAGTATGTAATGATTTATTTTAAAACTTTGATTTAAGTTAGTCTGTCCTACATAATTTCAACTTGTTTATAAAGCAACAATATGCATTAATAAATATTTGCTTTCTCTCCTCTTTCCTCCATATTAAATTATATCAAAAACATGGAATGCAACCAAAGAGAACTTTATGTCTATAGCATCTGGCCTATATTTCTCCCAGGGAGAAAATATCATTTCATTTTCAGACTTTAACAGCTTTGCACACATCGTGTCCTCACGCCAATTTCTTTTCAGAAACCCTGTGCTTTTAAACTAGAACTGGACACAGTTTAATAAAGAGAGCTTCATGCCTTGTCTTGTCCTGCTGTGTGTCCTCCTCCTCCTCATCCTAAAACACAGGAAAGAACTAAGTGTTCTACTCTGATCACATAACTGAAATAAATATAAACCACTTGGAAAAAATCCATACCAAGTTTATTCTACAAATACAGAGAATAAACTATTTCAGTTGCATCAATGTTAATATTCTCTCAGTATCTTTAAAATGCATTGCAAGAGTTGTTTTACAGCACAACAGCAAATGGTAGATATACTGTTATTCATCTGGTGCCTGATGTGTTTTTTTTTTTTTAATATATATAGCACACCAACCTGGAAGTGAAAGCTTTAATACAATGAACAAAACCCCCTTTTTCTACTTTTTTTTAAACATTTTTGTTAAGCTCCTAAATGTTGAATGTTCTCTTCTACCTTACTGATTTTTATCTTCAACAATGAAATACTTCCATTGCCAAGAATCGTACTACACTTAAAACCTCTTCCCCTAAGGAAAAGGAGCAAGATTATTTCGCCAAGAAGTGTAATTAAGTCTAGAGATATAAATTACTTAGCTTTGCTGTCTCAAGTTGTTGCTTCAGGGTTTAAACTTAGCATAGGAGAAGTTAAATCTCACCATTTCCATAGGGACCAACTTGCTGAACTATCCCATGCTGTAAATATTGATCTTTTAACTTACCTGTTTTTTAAACTGTTGGCATTCCTCAGGTGTAAGTGTGTCTGCTTTGGCAATAAGTGGAATGATATTCACTTTTTCATGCAGGCGCTTCATAAACTCTATATCCAAAGGCTTAAGTCTGAAAGACAGTATTAAAGCCTTGCAGTTAATATTAATCAAGAATATACAAATGAGCCAAGGTTTGTCTTGAGAACTAGTTTTAAGACACTGATTTATGAGTTATAAATGGTTGAATAAAATTTAAAAGGCTACTTGCAATTCGTATAGGAAATCTTCAAGCACTACACACTATTAGAGAGTAATAAATTAAAGATACTAGCAGTCACGAGATCTTTGCTAGCTGAAATTATATTCATTTAAGCAAGAGCTAAGGTTACTAGCTTCATAGAGAGTCCTTATGTCCCCAAATGGAGGATGTTCTCATCTAACACCTGCCTGGTATGAGTTTATGATTCTGAATCGTTCTCTGTTCACATACATGGGTTTCATTTTCTGAAAAACACGCTTATTGATATGCTCTTTTCTGAAAGCAAGCTGCAAGGGGTTTTTTTATTCTTTAAACTGACGGAGAGAACTAACACTGTAGCCTGCACATACATGTATCACCTCACCTCTAATTCACCGTGCACAGCAAAAAAAAAAAAAAAAAATTAGAAAAGTGGATGACAAGAGTCAAGCATATTATCTAAAAAAACCCAAATACAGCAAAAAAACACCTAACACATACGCAAACACCACTAATATGTACCAAGCGGTCAACTTCCTCTGCTTGCTAAAGTAAAGCCACTGGTTTTAATATAATAATGCTCTAGAATTACAGCATATTTTTGGCCCTAAGGGAGTCATTAAAGAATTTAAGCAAGATTATTTCACACATTGGAAAAAAAAAATAAGAAAGAAAGAAAAGGATTGATGAGTAACCAAACAAGTTAATGGCATGTTACCTTGAACACTAAGGACAGATCCATTTATCACCCATTAAACAGGCACACACACAATATGTGACCGCAAATGGCAATAGGGAGATGCAGCAAATTACTGCTAAGCAAAAGAGACAGTCGTCTTAAAACAAGTTCCACAGTAATATTAGTGTCACTAAAAAAAAGACACTCTGACATTCCTCATTTTCCCACCGTATTCTTCAGGCCCTATCAAAAACCGAACAAAAACACTTCAACTCTTGTACTGGCAAAGCAAAAAAATCTGTTAAAAATAGGTTCAGGCAGGCCTATTTTGGGGACTGTCAGGACGTGGGGAGGATACACTAGCAAAGGCCACGCAGGCTTCCCCATTCCCTCAAGATAAATGTGCAGGATTCCTGCACGTTTAACTTTCACGCTAAGGTTTTTCAAGACAACTAAGCAAGACTGGCAGGCACTTAAATAGCTCCTCCAAGACCCAATTTACACAATTTGCTTCATACAATGCAAGAAGCTTGATTCTTGCAACAGAATGATTACACATTCCCAATCACCTTGTAACCTTTGTCTGTGAAAAGGAAAAGTTGTTTCTTCCCACAAACAAATACCAAGTTTTCCAGTGTTATGAAAGCCAGATGTGCTAACAATGACTAGAGCATTCTGAGTTCGTAGCAGGAATTGGAACTCCTCAAAGATATATAAGTACTCAAAGAGTCTAAGCTCTTTTCCCTGTTAAGGAAAACGTATTTAGCTGCACTTCAACATTTTCTGTGGGCCACCGAGTTTTTCAGCTTCACAAAATATTTCCATTCAATTGCTAACAATAATGCACGTAGAGTTTAAAAAGGCAGGTCTGGCCATGTTTTTACCTTGATGTGCTTTCCCCTGTGCCCGCGCTCGGAAAGCCACCTACACGCAGGTGTCTCTCCTTGCTCCCCCAAAAGCCCCAAAACTAAAAGCCTCACAGCTAAACTGCTAGTTCAGGAGCAAATGGAGGGCAACAGAGGCACCAATGTCCTCGGTGCCCAGCTTAGTTCCTCAATTACATGAGGATTCCTATCTTTTACTACAGGAATTGAAAGACTTTTTTTTTTCTGGAAAAATATCTGAAAGCTACACTCCCTCCAAAAATGAGAATAACAAAAAATGCACCGTTTTCTCCGTACTTAAACAATATTATAATTTGGCACAAGTAATAAAACAGTATCTACCGAGAATTCAGATGTTTGCATTTAAAACTGGCTATCCTATATGTAAGTAGCCAAAAAGTGCTATTTATTACTTGTGACCAAAATGTCAAATGATTAAGACGTGTTCACATAAGAAACTTTTTCTATCACCCTCCAAAGTTGATTTCTTTCCAGATTCTGAAGGTGAGAAGGAGTGAAAGCATTGTGATGTCAGCTACAAAAACTGAATGTAATGGCTGGCATTTTCTACTGCTTCAGGAATATTCCTTAAAAGTTCATTATTTTCTTCAAGTAGGTTTTGCTGCTTTTGATACACATGATAGAAGAGTTTGCATAAGGCTACTCATCCTCTTTCTAGTTATCAAGATATACATTAAAATGTCTCTGACAAATGTAACTAATTATAATACCATGACCAAACGCTAAGCAACCAACTGCAGATATAATACAACCTGTATACAGCATGCATTGGAAATGCAGTTCTCTTGCTCTACCACTAGATAGAGGCCTGATCAAGTTAAAACATGAAGTGGGTAGCAGATTGCATAATAGCAGGAAAAAAAAATGCAGAACATCTATACTGGAATTTTCAACTCACTAGACAAAGAATTAAGTGCCAGCTGAATTAAAGCATCCTTTAATGCCAAAGATGCATCAAACTTCCCATATTCGATTTATCATTAAACTCAGAGGAAGGGTTTGACGATCAAAAGGAAAAATCCATGCAAAAATGCTGGAAATCCCTAGAAAAAAATGCTGCAAACCAGCTTCTACACTTCAATATAAATAAACTGGACAAAATTGTCTTTTGGACAAAAGAGAAATACATCACACAAGGAGTACTGGAGCAGTTAAAAATACACAACTACTCACAAGTGCCAGGACCATTTTTCTTGCTATGTAATTAAAGTGTGATCATGTTCTCTGGTATTCTAACTTATTACTAGCTTGCCTTGCTTATGTTTGACAAACCAAAGTAAACTCGTCTTCAAACTTAAACATGGTCTGCAGGCCATTAAGAAAATCCTATCTGGGACTTTGCGTAATTAAGAATGCCAAAGTCTGGATGTTCTTCCGAGATAAAGCCAGAGGGAGGGAACATGAAACACCCGGATACTAACCCATGTCCTGAAGGAGCAATGAAATATAAACAACACTGCACTCTATTATCTGGCATCTGCCGTCTGTTCACTCGGGATTCTGCATTCAGGTAGTCCTCAAATTTACTGTCAATGTAGTCGATAACAGGCTGCCAACTGCAGAGATTACATGAATAAAAATGTTAGATCACTTAGGTGAAAAAGTCCAACTTTGCAAAGAAATAGATGCACAATATTTTCCTGTGACTCTTTTTTTTTTTTTTTTTTAATTAAGATATTCAGCTAGGTCTAGTTTAAGTGTCCTCAACAGACAATCAAATCATCTAGTTCTGAGCTACTATCTGTGAGTTCACAACCAAACAACCAACAAAAAAAACTTTCAAACACAATTACTTTTACTGTAATAGCATTAAACAGAACACCTAAGAACAGCAACCACAGGAATATGCTTTACTGGACAATTCTTGTGAAGGATGCAAGCAGGCTCAGTATATTGTGAGTACTGAATCCAATATTCCAAAGAACTAGATATTCTGTTTACTTTAAATGCAGTTAGAGAGAAGCCAATTGCTATTGTAATTTGATTAAAATATGATCAGAACTACAGTACTCAAAGTTTTAAGCTAATGGAATTACACAAATTTAAAGGCATCAACACTTAAACTGAAGATTGAAGTGTGCATTTTAAAAACATCTCCAGGAAATACATATATATATATATATATATATAAAACACAATTCAAAATATTTTTAAGCAAACACACACAAAAAAATTCTTACCAATTACTATTATCCACAGCATCGCCAAACCCTGGTGTGTCAACTATTGTAAGTAGTAACTGCACACCACCTTCTTTGATTAAAACTTTCGACTGCTCGACCTGCAAAATGAATAAGATTAAGTATTTAGCAATTTAGCCACTTCATTTTAACACTAGGAAAAGCACTCAATGAATTAGAATTCTTACACAGAAGAGCCAACCCTTCCGCTTCGCAGGGGTTCTGATTGCTTCTTTGGGGAAGAAATCCCAATTATTTTGATATTAATTATATTTTTACATTTAAAAATGGGTCATTCTTTAAATATATATTAGTGATAAAGGAACTTGTCTAGGTATATAGTGTGCCTTAAGATTTTATCTCTTGTTGAAAGAGGAAAATCCTGAACAAAAATTCACACTAGTATGCAAGCAAGTATTATGATATATTCCGATATTCTGATAATTCTAATTCTAGACATAATACTTGCCAAAATTACATAACAACATTTTGGAAATCCTAGAAAGTGATGCCTTCCTGTGATGCCTTCCAACCTCATCACAAAAAAACAACCCACAACAACAACCAATTCTAACCACAGTGTTTTCCGTGTGGATCCCTGACCATAGGAAATGACAAGTTCATATCAGAATTTTGACTCTTTCCAAAGTGCTCATGCATTTAATCATGGTTCTTCTGATGCTAAAACAATTTCTATTAAATTATTAGTGACACTTTTCCAGATATCTAATCAAAAACACACCCCAGCATTAAGAGGTTGTGAATACTGGTATCAACCGAGCTAGGCACTT